CCAAACATCTGGGTGAAAGGACACTCCAAACCACAGGTGTCAAATTTGCCGCATCACGTGACATATGACATATCGTGACTTTTTTTGCATTGCCGGAGCTGAGGTGGGTGTGGCCTCCATATGATGCAATGGCCCACGGGCCGGCAGTTTGACACCCATTCTAGACCATGAATTCCTGAACAATCATCTGTGCCCTTTGGAAGAAGTTGGGAAGTTTGGAATGTCACTTTGGAAGAAGTGACATTCTTTTTCAACAACTTCAGCAATTGTCAGCTGACAATCTTTCTTGCATCCCAATATTAAACCTCACCTTTTCCATATTCAGTAATGTGGACAAAGAGAGCTAGAAGAAAATGGTTTCAACTTCCAATAGAGAGAAAGGAGAGACAGGTTTCTAGCAGACCCCTTGTGAGTCTCCGTCACTGGAAGGCTAACAAAATTGACTTGCACCTGGGTATGGGCTTTTGGACTATTTGTAGCTGCCATCATTTCTCAGATGTAAATACTGAAGATTATAAACACGTGAATAAGTACAGCTTTCCTTATACCAGGGGTAGGCAACCCAAAACACTCAAAGAGCCACTTGGACCCGTTTCCCACCAAAAACAAAACACTGGGAGCCGCAAAACCCTTTTGATATCTAAAATGAAGATAACACTGCATATATCCTTTTTTACCTTTATTATAGGTGTGTGTGTGTGTGTGTGTATGTATACACACACACACACACACACACACACTTACACATATACACATTAAAAATAAAAGTAAAAATATGACTCTTGGGAATATCCATACTATTAAAACAATGATCACCAAGAGAATGCTTTAAGAGAATAAAATTACATACACACACAGGTAAAAAAAGGATATATGCAGTGTTATCTTCATCTTAGATGTCAAAAGGGTCTCTCTCTCTCTGTCTCTCTCCCTCCCTCCCTCTCTATCTGCCCTTGGTCTGCCATTCCTCTTCCCCCACTCTCTTTCTTTCTCTCTCTCTCTTTCCTCTCTCTCTTTCTCTCTCTCTCTTTCCTCTCTCTCTTTCTCTCTCTCTCTCTCTCCCCCCCCCTCTCCTATCTGCTGCTCACCTGACAAGCTTCAGGCTGTTGTCCAACAACCTCCGGGGTAGTCAACCTCGTCTCTTTTATGACTCATGGACTTCAACTCCCAGAATTCCTGAGTCAGCCTAGCTGGGCTAGCTAGCTCTCTCCTGCCCTTCCTGCTTCCTGCTTCCTGCAGAGACGCAGCAAAGGGAAGAGCTCCGCTCAGAAAGCTTTTCAGCTCCTCGGAGAACACTGTGAGTGCACTCTCTTTTACACACACACACACACAAAAAAAAAAAAACCACAAACACAGAGAGAGAGAGAGAGAAGCAGGGAAGCGCAAGTGCCTCTCTCTGTCTCTGTCTCTCTCTGCAAAGGCAGAGGAGGCTGGGAGCCACAGGGGAAGGCTCAAAGAGCCGCATGCGGCTCTGGAGCCGCAGGTTGCCGACCTGTGCCTTATACCAACAAATAGAGTCTTCCTTGCTTTTGTTCCAAATCTCGGATAGTTAAAGTGATATCAAAGCACTGAAGATGTCTGGAAAGCTTGACCAAGCCATATCCCCAACAGAGATGTCTGTGGGAATGGGATCATAGAAGTCAAGATGGGGGTTCGCACCACATAATTGAAAACTACCCCTGTTTTAGGTGCATAACACATGTCACACACACTAGAAAGAGGCAGGGCTTTGACTAGATGGTCGCAACCCCCTTCTTGCTTTTTTGGATCCCTCTCCAACTCCCTTGATTCTCGAGGAATGGCAAATACAAAGATGGATCTCCATTTGTAAACTGTATTTATAGCTAAAACAAGGTATTGCTAACAAAATGCTATTTAAAAAAAATCAAAATATTTATAAAACCCCAAACTATTTACATTGGTAATTAAGGACATATACTCCAAAGTGATTAACTCCATTCTGACTAAACAGCCATCCATTAGATTCCCAAGTACAAATGAGGCCAACTTAGTAACAATAAGCCCCATTTATTACAAAGACAAGCTTACTCAAGGCCAGTTTAGCAGACAAGTAGCAAAAATAATTTCTTCAATGGGGAAGAGTTCCCAACATTAATATTCCTCAAACCTGTGTCTCCAACCCCTGTTGGCTAACCAATAAATCCCTGATGTTCCAAATTCATCTATCTCATGTTCTCCAAGAGCTCCTCAGAGTTCAATCTAACTGGGAACCATCCCATTCCACTGCAAAATCTTCCCCTTTTTCATGCATAGAGTCAGAGATATGTGTAGGGTGGTTCATAAGAGGGCTGCCATGATGGTGTGACTTTTAGGAGGATTGCGTGAGCAGTCAGTTTCAATCACACTGCCACAGTTGCCCATCATCTTGAATGTTTTGACCATATCCTGTAGAAACACCTACATGAAGTGCTGTATCCTGGTGACCCCAATTGTGGTTTGTTATTGAGGTTTTGGCTGGAATCCTAAAGAGAAGCGCTTGATGGAACTAGCTACCAAAGACAGCAGGGTTGGTGTCAACCCCGCTAAGCAGACCAGGCTTACTCTCTACAGTTAGCCATGTGCTCATGTCATCCTATATCAGTGTTTCTCAACCTTGACAGTTTTAAGGCATGTGGACTTCAACTCCCAGAATTCCACAGCCAGCAATGCTGGCTGTGGAATTCTGGGAGCTGAAGTCCACGTGCCTTAAAATTGTCAAGGTTGAGAAACACTGTCCTATATGGTCTTTCAGGATGCTTTGTGCCACTGCAGGCTCTAACATTATTAAGGGATCAGGAATGACAGGCCTGCACCCAAGGTGGGGATTTCAGGCTAGGCCTCCATTCACATTTTTCTAATAATGGGGTACAGTAACCCTTAAACTACTGGCGGAAAACTTGGGCACTCTCTTCCCCCAAGCAGATTTTATTACAAGCTGAGCCTCCTTTTTCATTAGCTTTGTTGGCAGGGCAGCTTGGAGTTATAATCCGGGAACATCTGGAATGCTGCAGGTCCCCTATTTCTGTCTTCAACAGACTGATCCTGGGGCAGCCAGGGAGAAATGCAGATTTGGTATTACTTTTCTGCAGCCAATTGTGCACTCCCCCCAGTCCAGCTCCCTCAATGGTGCTTTATGCAGAAGGGCAGCAGGCATGGCTGCTGCATAAATAGATAGGAAGATTGAGCCAGGAGCAGTAAAGGAATGAGGCGAATGTCAAACAGTATCCTCTCTATCCCCTGCCTCCCGTCTGTTTCCAGTAAAGAGATTGCTGCTTGGATCTATAAAGCTTCTCCTGTCTTTGCAGGTGTCATAGGAACTTGGCCCTGGCTCTGCAGCAAGACACATTTATTACCTCGGGGACTTGAACATTGATCATTCATTCCTTTCCAAGAGCAAAGAATGGTCATTTTGCACCAAGCTGCCCCTGCCGTCCGTTGCCGTTCCCTTTGCCAGTACATTTGGCCAGTTGTTCTCTTTCAGCCTTGCTCTTCCTGTTGCATTCTGACTGTTCAATGAAGAAAGAGTAAAACCGGATGGCTGGATTCAGTGCAGGGAAATTACTTCAGAGCAATCTTTGTTTTTCCTTTCATTCCTTGGAACACGCTTGGCCCTGCCTCCCAGTGAACGGGTTTGTTTGAACCGTTTGGAACATCCCAGAAGCGAGCAGAATCGCTCACATCTTTTGATGACTCCTGAGACTTTTGCAGGGTGTTGTTGCAACAAAAACAAAATATAAAAGGATACCCCCGCCCCCAGAAAAAACAGCCCTGACTCTGCCATTGGTCATTGTGCTGTAAATCAGTCAGCGCCTTCTAAGCAAACTGTCTCTTTTATTGCATCAGAGAAAGCTTGCACAGGAATTGGCTTAAACTGCTAACTACAGAATGGCTTAAGAGTTTGAGTTGGGGTTTTGTCTTTTTTTAATTTCCAAAGAAATTCACTCTTTGAAATCAGCTTTATAGATCTGTGGATGCAATTTCACAGCACACTGAATCACATTGTTTTAAGACTGTTTAGCTGTCCTATACACAGGGATACTTTTAAACCTATTCCAAAATTTAAAATCAATGTTAATGGCCTATTTTAAACTCATTTACAAAGGAAAAGGAAAGAGACTTCGCGCTCTCTTTCCAGACAGACACACACACACATACAGAGGCATTTTTTTCTGTGTCAACACAGACTGTAATTTTCTTCTCATTGGAAAAAAAAACAGGCTTGGCCAGAAGATATAGAAATTAAGGCATTTAATTTTAAAACTAGAAAATCTGTCATGATTCATTATATTGTTCCTTTTCTTAATTGCAGTAAGCAGTTATCCACATTTTTTATAAACTTATTTATAAACATCTTTTTAGTATGTTTTAATGTTTTTGTTTAAAGTCACTGAGTAAACTTTTGTAGTTTTTTCCCCCCTATGTGTATTGCAGCTAGATTATTGTGCTTTCCTATATACCTAACAGTTGGTTATTTCACTACGGAATTCAGTTATAATAGCAGCAGAGAATTATTTGGACTGATTATCTGCTATTGACCGTATACCTTCCTGATTAAAATTTAGGTACAAACTAGGAGAAAAAACAGATGTACTAGTGATCTAGAGGGCTGATAGTGAAGAGGCCATATTAGCAGTTTATATCAAAATCTTTAGGGTGATCATGTTAAAAGGGACTGTAAGAAACTGCAATAGGTCCTTTCCCAATTGAAGGAACAGGTTTTACATGGCAAATGCACTTTAGTATCAAGTGATATTGCTGACACAAAACATCTGGATTTAATGAGATCAATTAATTAATGGATTTGAGTTAGTATGGACTTACCACAGATTTGAAGTCATGTGAGTAGCTCAATAAAATGTCAACCAAGCCTGCGACTGCTTTAAAAAAGGCAAATTCCATGCTTAAAATCATTAGGAAGAAAATTGAAAACTGAACTGCCAAAATAACACTGTCCATACATCACACAGAATATTAGACATATTATATTGTTAAAGATTATGCAACTATTACAACAAAAACAATTAGGGAGCTACAACAGTTCCTATATAAAAGTTAAAGTAGCAGTATTCTTTAATTTGGAATGGAAGTTACATAAGAGGACATATAATAAAGACACATAAAACCATGGCATATATTTATTTATCAGTCATTTCTTTGCCACCCATCTTATTAGTTTTTATGATTTATGAGGTAAGATCTTCCTCCCTCCCTCAATGTTAGAGCTCACTGAAACTGAAAAGAAGATTAATGGTGGACAGAAGGAAATTGTTTCCACACAGCATATAGTTAAACTGGTAGCAGGTGTGCAAATAGTTTATATGAGTGATTTTAAAAGGGGACTGAACACTTTTATAGAAGATCAGGCTATGAGTAGCTACTTCTTTGATGGCTGTTAGGGGGCTATTGCTCCCTGGTCCACATCTGAGATATTCCCAGGTGCGCATCCAATTGCTACTGTTTGACAAAGAATGTTGAATTAGATGGCCTAACATCTGATCCAGGAGGGTTCTACCAATTATTCCTAGTTCTGACTGTATTCAACTATGAAGGACAGGGACTCAAGAAGCAAGGACATAAACATGGAGTGAGGCCAGAGAGAACTGGATATTTCTTAATTCCAATTATGAAGGACTAGAGAAGGAAAAAATATCTGTACACTTCGCTTACTATGGCATTATATTATCCACTGCTGAAAAGCAGGTGACTTGGATAGACATATCTTGCTTTCTTGCTATCTTATGTAATAAGAGGTTGGCAGATTCAACTCTGCCAGTTCTGTACCCTACACAAATGGGTCACGTAACATGTGAAGAACTTTTATTCACAACTGTCTTCTCTACAAAAAGAGATTCTGAATGCAAAAAAAACAAAAAACCACGGGGCAGAAGGAAGCAAAAACTGGCAGACATTAATCCAGGAAAGTACATAAGAGTATGTGTGAACCTATCTTTGAAGTGCACGTGATCTTGGTCCTATTTTATTTTAAAATTGTCATCTGAAATGCCCGTTTATAAATTCTGGACCTGCAAAAAAAAAGGGCATTAATAATATCAGCAATAATTAGAAAACACAGGTGAAGGGCGGGTTTGTCTGGAAGTTTGGACTAAGCTACCAGGAGACTCAACGCTGAAAAAATGGAGCACCAAACTTCACAATAAAGGTCTTGTCTACTGTAACGTTTTCCCTGAGCATCTTGTGGCAGCCAATGAGCGCCTCTTTTCCTCCAGATCTGCACTCCCATTGGTTGCAGCCTGTCATTCTTTTGCTCGTCTAAGACAAGGTTGGAGTTAGAGGATCTGCGTTCAACAATCGGTTTCCTCACATCTCGGCGCTAATCACAGCAGGGAGATTAAAACAGTTAATTTTTCAACTATTTCTCCTTATCCAGCTGACCGCAAATCCGAGCGGCTCCCAATTCCCTGCCGCCTTTTCTTCTCCCGAGCTTTTTAACGCAATGACAGCCCGTTGCCTGATCTGAAAACCCCGCAGGGCCATTATCATGTTGAGGCAACACTTTTCGTACGAGCTGGTTCGCTACACGCAGGCCCCCTCCGCCTTGCTTCCCAAACAAGCTGAGGAGAGCAGGCCGGACTTTGCGGCGGAGCAGTTCCAGATGCGATCCGGAACCGGGACCACCCGGGCGGGCGGGAGCAAGAGCGAGCAGCAGCTGCTGCGGAGAAAGATCAACAGCCGCGAGCGGAAGCGGATGCAGGACCTCAACTTGGCCATGGACGCGCTGCGAGAGGTGATTCTGCCTTACTCGACGGCTCATTGCCAGAGCTCGCCCGGGCGGAAGCTTTCCAAAATCGCCACGCTGCTCTTGGCGCGGAATTACATTCTTTTGTTGGGAAGCTCGTTGCAAGAGCTCCGGAGAATCATAGGGGAGATTAGCGGCTCCTCGGGTCCCAGGCTGCTACTGGCTGGACTGCCTCTCTTCGCCGCCGCCGCCGCCGCGGTCGCCCCGGGCCCGGTGCTGCTAACGCCGGGGATCGGGAGCCACCACCACCTGCCCCACCACCACCACCCGGACAGGCTCCGACAGGCCAGCAAATACCCCTCGGCGGCGGCCCTGGAGGAGCAACAGTGCGGCCACGTGCCCGTCCCCGATGGGGCTACCCTTTGCTCCTGCGCCGCTTGCAAGTTCCCTCACTTGTTTCCTTCCGGCTTCGGGGTGGCCGCTGTGCAGACGCAGTTTTCCAAATGAGCCTGGCCCTCCTGAGCTGAGGGGGGGATGGAGATGGAGGGGGCCCAGCAGGCGGCGATGGAAACTGGTGGGACGGCGGGGGCCCGGAGGATCGAGGAGCCTGGTGGCTTCTCCTTTTTTATTACACGGTCTGCACGGAGCGACAGCTGGGGGCAGATAGGCGAGAATGTTCAAGACCCTGAAAGGGACGGTTTTGCAAGTTTTCCCCTCAAATCGGGTGCGCGATCGCTGGGACAAAAGTCTGATTTTGGCCCTCGGGTACAATTTGAAGAAGAGGGTCAGAATGGGGCAATTGTATTAAAGAGGTTAAATAGTCCAACGCTAACCCAAGCCTACCACGTGATGATGTAGCTGTGCACGGGACCTGAAATCAATACCAAGCCTGTTAAGATTTGTAAAAGAGGGATCATGGAACCCCAGAATTGGAAGAAGCTTTCCTCTTGGTGCAAAATCCAAATGAAAAAGCATTCCAGGCAAATGGCCGTCCAGCCTCATTGAGCACATTCAACAGAGGAGAGTCGCAGCCCTTGGCAATTGGTTCCATTGTTAAACTGCTTTGTCAGTTGGAATAACTTCCTGTAATTGGACATCTTAATCTGTGTCCCACACTCTGGGATGCAGAGAACCAGCCATTCTTCTATAAGAACCATCTTCAGGCACTTGAAAACTATGAGTCTTACTATCCTCAGTTATTTCTGAAGGCTTAAACATGCCCAACTCTTTCGGGCTCTTCTTGTAAGGCGAGCAGGATTCACACTACAGCAGTGACTTTTGGCATTAATACAGCAAGGAGAAAAGTTTTCAAACTTCAGTGATGGTTTAGTGACATTCAGAAATGTCATAAGATTCTAGTTAAGATCCTGACTAAATATTCAGTGTTTGGATAATCTTGGTAAGGCTTTATAGTGGGCACTTGTTCCAATATTTCAGAGTCTCTCTCTCTCTTTCTCTCTCAAGTCCCCAGAAACTGTGTGATATTAAGAATGTTATAGGGATTTGAAAAATATACTAAGCTGCATTTGCCTTTTCAGCAGCTATGCCAGCTGATTCATATTTAGCAACTGATTCCCCTATTCAGTATCTTGTATTTGATTTTCTACATGAAGAACTTTCTATTAAATGTCATTCTTTTTTTCAGTCAATCTATTTAGATTGTCTTGATTTTTTTCCTGTATATTAATATATTAGCTGTCCTACTGAGTGTTGTGTAATTTGCAAATCTGTTAAGCACTGCTTCCACCTACTTATCCATGTTAATGAAAATAATGATGAGTCAAGTCTAGGACTAAATCCCTGTGGCACACCACTTGAAACTTAACTGCAATTCAATGAGTATTCTTTGAGCAATGTTTTCAACATATATGCCAGCCAGCCAATATTTAGCTAATCAAAATATCATGTAATATTTTTTTGAAATTTTGTTGCTCCTAGTGTAGTGGAATTTCCTTTCAGTAAAAATGTATAAGATCACATCTGTGTTCCTAATTTCTCAGTGTACTCAGGCTTTTTTCCCATGAAATCAGTGAAACTTAACCATGCTTAAGTCCTACTGTTCCATTGTCCAATACAATGACTAGTCTCTCTTGTATTGGTGAAAGTCTTAGCAACTTTGAAACTGACATTTGTATATTTATTGCCTCCTTATATTAGTTGTAGATTGTCTATCAGTGACAATCCACAGTTATTGCATTGTTTGAAAATAATGCAATTTGGTTTTCAAAAATTACTTAAAACAACCTATCTGTTTATGGAGAAGTTAAATCTTATAGATTAGTTAGTTCATTTAATGAGCTAATATCCCAGTGTTATGGGTTCTTCACTGATTTTGTTTAAACTAGTTTAAACACCATGTTATTCACATACTTTTGTTCATATGCCAGCAACTGAAATATCTATATAGCAATAACGTTTTTAACATTAGAGTTTCAATCTTAAGCACACCCTTTAGGAAATAAGATCCATTGAATTAGTGAGCCTTACTTTTAGGGAACCAGGAACAGAATTTATCAGAACGCTTCTGCACTCAGAAAGAAAAAGAAATGAATGTACTGACTTCACAACTTTGAGTGTAGTGATTGTAGGCTTCTTACCAATATTGTGGTCTTCAATTTGCATGCACAGTACTCTGATGCATTATTATTGTCTTAATGTAATGGATTAATATAAATGATTTTTAATATTTTTTCTGTAACAGCAAAAATGAATATACCTCTATAGCAGGGGTGTCAAACTGCCGGCCCTGTGGGCTGGATGCATCATAGTGAAACTGCGCCCACCCCATTGCCGGCAATGGCAAAAAAGTTACAATATGTCGCAACATGTCACCTGACGTTGCGAGTTTGCTACCCCTGCTCTATAGCAATCCCAATAATAATACAACTTAAGCTTTTCAATAAGATAAGAATATTGCATCATATCTAAAAACTGCATAGTCAGAAAATCACACTGGATATCTGAAGAATTGCTGATGCTTAGGTGAAAAGGTAATACAGAGCAAAATTAATCAAATCATTTTTAGAACAGACTATATTAAAAGCAGGATGTGGGTGCTGTATAGTTAATGCTGTAGAGACTACCTCCCATTCATTTCAATGTAGTTTCTCTAAAGCATTCATTAGGTTCACAATGAATGAGATAAATTACATTGAAGATAGATATTTGACACATCTCTATGATGAAAGGCAGGATCAGTTACTTTATCTGTTTTTTTCTGGGAGAGCATGATTTACAACCATTCATTCAGCAATTATTTGAAGTTACAGCAGAACTACGGAATACTCTTACTTCAGCAGAAATGCAATATCAATATGCTGAGCAAGAAACCTTAATTGGTACCAGTTTTAAGCAACCTATATGCAGTTTTGTAATAGAGATTTGAGATTTATTGTATCATTCAGATTACAGAGCTCAAGTAATGGGTCCAACATGGCACCCATGTAGAGTTTCAAATAATGGTCTGAAACTTCATATAAAGAACCATACACAATGAGTTAAAAAATCCTGCAGTATTTAAACTGCCTTGCTCAACATATTGTATGAACATGATCAATGTAACAGCATGATGAACTGAGAATATTTTACAAGGATTGTGTTCATTTTGGTGAGATGATTTAATCTGGATAGGAAAGCAAAGTAGGAAAGTCTATGTAAGATAGGAAGAATACATGCAGTTTGTGGTCTTGTCCACTATCCAAACCCTTCGTCAGACTGACTGATTTGGAAAAGTTAGCAAATCTTGGCTGGCCTAGACTGATATCTGAAAAAGACACTGTCGTTTACAAATCTTGGTTAAAAGAAATCATAGTTTAACAGGACATATGTACTCAGTATGTACTGAGAAATTGGTGAAGATTTCAGAATGTATGCCAAGGTAGATGAGCTCAAGATTGCAGCTGTAGCTTTCTCCAGTCATCAAAGGACTGTACCAGCAGTCCTTGATTTACAACCATTCATTCAGCAATTATTTGAAGTTACAGCAGCATTGAACGAAGGGACTTTATGACTGGTCCCTGAACTTACAGCTATTGTAGTGGCCTCATGGTTGTGTGATCAAAATTTGGGTGTTTGTCACCCCACCCATGTTTATGATGATAAGCACACTTTGACTCCCCCACCTCCCTATTTCCCCCATCTATGCCCTTTGACCCCCTGCCCTCCATAGCCCCTGCTGCCCTAGCTGAACTTCCCCATTTTCCTCCTCCTCCTTCTGACCACGCTATGCCTGTCCTGACCCCTCACAAAGCAGCTGCTGGCCACATGAGGCTTCCTTCCCTATGTTGTGGACCATGTTTTTTTCATGAGATCTGGGGAAGATGGCTTTACATGGCTACAGCTGCCTTGGAAAGGGCCAGGACAGGCACATCTCAATGAAGAGAAGCAAGAAGATGGTGAAATTCAGCTGAAGTGGCTGTAGTGTCAGAGTTGAGGGTGGCTAGGGCGATTGTGGCCGGGATTGGGCTGGGGCAGCTGAGGTTTGATGGCTTAAATTGGGGTGGGTCTCAACTAATGACCAATGGAATTTGATTACTAATAACAATGGTGAGTGCTGGGATCACCGCTGCCAAGAGATGTGGTTATGTGTCATCGTACTTTGCGAAGGCTTCACTTAGTGATGGAAATTCTGATCCCAATTGTAGTTGGAAGTCAAGGATTGCCCGTCTGATAGTTCCCATCTGTGAATTCCCCAATTAATTTCAGAAAAACAAAAAAAGTACTCATGATCAGATGAAATAATAAAAAACTCTGGAATGCTCATGTATAGGGCATATTTATTTATCTTATTTATAAAGGCGACTCTGAGTGGTGTACAACACAGCTAAAACAGTGAATGAATAAAACATTTATTATAAAAAAATATAAAAAACAGAACAAAGGAGATAACAGATGAAAGGATGTCAATAATAATCACAAGTTCACCTGTTTAAAATATTTAACATTTAAGAACATGGTTTGAAGAAACTTTTTGGAATCTTGTGGATTTTTTTAAAAAATGGTTTTGTCTGTGCAATAGCTTTTACAGTATAAAAACTAGCAATACATTAGCTATTTTATTCAGAGCTCATGCATGACAGACCAGAGGTGCAGGAAAGTCCTAATGCTACAATCTAGGATCAAACAATCAATGACCAAGAGAAATCCAGGACTGCCTCACCTGTTAAATCATCTATGTGTAGATGATTATCTACACATAGAGAATAACAAAATGCATAATTCTTCAAATTGAAAGAATATTCAATATTCATGGAAAGAAAGGGGAAATATATTGGTCTAACCCAGGGGTAGGCAACCTTGGCTCTTTTATGACTCGTGGACTTCAACTCCCAGAATTCCTGAGCCAGGAATTCTGGGAGTTGAAGTCCACGAGTCATAAAAGAGCCAAGGTTGCCTACCCCTGGTCTAACCCAAGTGCCTGTGTTATTCTTGGTGTGTTACTCAAGTCTTCCATGTCATGTCTTGAGCATCAGTTGCTTTATTCATGTTAATGGGTGTAACCTCCCATTTCATGGCCACTAAATTTAAAAATCCTCTGGTGTTCAGCTATGCCTGAATGTAACCTAATTCAAAGAGATGCCAAAGGTCCTGGTAATTTATTAGAAGGGGTGATCACCAGGAATCAGAAGATTTCTAGAGTAGCTGAAGCTCACAACTTTTTACCATTCTTCACCATGCCTTACCTAAAGGATCTTCATGTGCATGTCTTCTGTTTATTTAATTCCTTTATATTGTCCTTCCTGTAAAACCATAGCCTGGATTTGGATTAGAAAATTTTTTGGAATGACATGAGTTCAACTGCCTGTTAAACTGGGTTCAGCTATATTTGTCTGAGCCCAAACAACACACAGTTCTGACAACATATAACTCCGAGGTGAGGTACTGAAATCTGATTTAAATGCCATGGAGCAAACAATAAGAGCCATGGAAATCAAAGCAAATTAGTTTAAAACTGGGGTAGTCTATAAAACTATATAATTCATCTTTAAATGTGAGCCAAGAATTAAGAATTACCTGCAGACCTCAGGTATATTAAGCTGTTACTATTAGCTTATAATTCAGATGCTCTTCCTTGAGTGACGGCTTCTCTCCATCTGAGAGGATTTTAAAAAATATAGAAACAACTAAAATGTTGATGATTATAAACTGAATTTAAGGGCAAGTTTTATAGCTGCTGTCCATGATCTGGATTACAGGGGGAACTACCTTTGTCTGAATGGAGCTCTCATCCTTAGTGCCATGTTGCTTATTCTACTCTAACAACTTTTCCTGCTCCCAAGAGTTGATGCAGGGACTGATGAGGCAGAAGAACATTTGAATGCAAAGATCCATTTACTTCCTGAGCAGAGATTAGGGAAAAGCTTCTGCAGCCTTAAGAAGTTATAGGCACTTCTTTATAATAGGAGAAATCAGGGTAGATACCTGCATAAGGAATTGTTCCACGAGTGCCATTTGGTCACATTATATCAGGAGTTTTAATTAGACCTTGTCACACCCACCATTTCTCCAACAAATCCACATAAATGAATATAGAAGACAGAATCTGGTTTCCTGTTAGCAGACTTCCATTAGTATATAGAATCCTCTTTTCCGGTTTTGTAACCCACAAAGCAGTAGAATCTTCTAAAGAAAAAAGAGGAAACAGTACAAAGGGGAATAGATCTGTTTCTCCTCATAAGCAATCAGCAAAAGCGGCTTCTATTGACATATACACAATTAGAATTAAATTCTAAGGCCAGGAATTTGGTGTGTTGTTTACTAAAATAATTTCTTTCAGTCAAGCTCAACTTCCGATGACCACCCCAGCACTTCCCACCTTCCATGTAAGATCACAACTGTAAGATCAACTATTGAACGTACAGACAAACCACTGATCCAGCTGTGGTAATGAAATTTTAAGTAGAAAATCATCAGGTGGAAGACCACAGATTAGGCACATGAAACAGACATTGGGGGGGGGGTTAAATCTGGTTCTTGAGTAGAAAAGTATCGT